GTGAAAAGACTCTGTAAATGTAAACTGATACAACCTTCACAGAATCTATCAGAGTATTTTGTCAATTTACACTTGTTGCATTCTTTTGGTTCACCTACTTTATATGTTGCATTATTTAATTCAAGCCAATAAATAAAATTTTCTTTACAATATTCTTTTTCATTTTCAGAAAGCTCCTTGTTTTTGTTGACTAATGAAAAATAATAGTCTTTTAAACTTCCTCTATCAGAATTAACATTAGCATTATTGCGCATTTCATTGTCGGTTTTTCTTACAAACTCCACCCTTTCTGGTGATAATAATTTAACATGTGACATTATATAAAACTTTGACTTGTTGTTTTAATGAATGTGGGGGGGGGGAGATTTTGAGAATGACGGTTATAATATTTCCTTTTTCTTTGCGGACGTGTAACAAACAATTTTTTCGTACAACATTTAAATTCTAGCGATCGATTTATCGTGAATAGAAAACAAAATTAAAACATGTACCAAAACGCCTCATGTGCTATGTAAAGGTCGTTCTAAGTACCAATATTAATCAACTTATATTGCTTCAAACTCGGACGTAAAGACAGCTCAAGCATATTATTAATAGTATTGGGTACTACTACGCATTACACGTAATCCTGGAGTTAATCAATTTAACACAACTCATATGTATGTAAAGACAATTTGATTTTTTACATTTTATGAAATGTATAATAAAAGAATGGTTTTAATTTGTAAAAAGGAGAGGCCTTTTTATTTTGAAAGAAAATATACGGAAAAAAAGTTAAGTAATTTAATTAAGTAAAATTTCTAATTCAAATTATAACTCTCCATGATAATTATTCTTCTTGCATCATTGCAATATACATACAATGATATAGTGATCCCCAGATACACATTTTTACATAATTTGGAACTTTTGATAATTCTATTTTATCATTATCATTATTGCTGCTTGTATCACGTATCAAGAGTTTTACTTACGTCAAGTACGTCAAGTGGTTTTAATTACGTCAAAGGATTTTACTTTACTCAAATCGTCAAAATGGTCTTGATGAAAAACTATCCTTAGTCAATACTTTAGTCACATCAACAACTAAAGTCAAAAGTTTCATCATACATTATTATTACGCACGAACCGGTTTGAACCATAATTATTAAAAATTTTTGATTCCAAACCATTTCAACAATTACTACATAACAAAAGTCGCAATCATTGACCGAAATTTTTTTGACAAAGTAAAAAAAAACACATAATAACCTTATCCGGAATTTCAACATATTAATTTATGCGTCTTGAATAAGCAACATTGATGTTGTTTTGAAATTTTTTGTATACAAACATAGATGATTCTTAAACAAATCCTTCAAAAAGTTTGAAACTTAAAATATCAGCTTTCTATGAAATCACTAGTCTTTATAAAACAATGCACCAACTACAATATCCACGTAAAACAAGAACTCGAATTCATTAATAAATGAAAAGCGCAGGACAGCTTTACACTGAAAGTGTTTAGTAAAAAGCAACGAATTATTCGTACAATTCGAACCTGAATATTCGGTCCAACCAGTAAGCTCTATATAAATATAAATAAGTAAAAATTATCACAAAAATATAATTCATAGTTTTTATCTTGAAGATGAGACAATAAAATATTCTATTGTTTTTCTGGTATTGAATGAGAAGAAACTGGAGGTGATGGCTTGTTTATAGGTTTTGGTGAAAACCGATAAAAATTCTGCATGTGGCAGACATCAGGTTTGTATAAATTCAACATAATCACCTCCATTGGTCATTCAAAGTAAAACAAATTTGTAATGTCATCAATTGTTTTTACACTATGATTTTTGCATGAAGAGCAATACAAGTCACAAGTCATCTTCAAATAAGATATTGCTGTTTCTACTTTAATCCCTTATCTAAAATGTGCTTATCACTTGATGGTACGAGAGAAATCTAATAAAGGTAATTTTTCTAATTAAATTTTTTTCGTTTCCCGTACACTTTTAGGTAAGATTTTACAATCACAAACCCTATCTAGATTTAAGTTGATTATTTAAACAATTTTCCTTGCTTGGTGAGCCAAAAAATAAGATAATTGGTCTCGACATCCTTCAATTGTAGAACAAATTTGCTATATAGTAAATTTTTTGATAATCATATTGATTACATGCAATACAATGTAAAGATTTTGTTGTTCGTTATTGGTAAAAGAAGCTGCCATTTGAACTGGATAAACACTTTGTTGTTGTTCATTATTAATAGAAGCTATTTTTTGAACACTTTGTTGCTCATCATTATTAGCAGAGACTATTTTTTCGTTTACAAAACTCACAAAATTTGTGGCTGGGATATGAAGTAACCGTACATGATCAGAACGTTGATGATGTCAAATTACAATTGCCATGATGAAAAGCATTATGGATTGTGAACCTGTTATAATAAATAGTGCCTATCTGTGGTGATGGTGACTTTGATCCTGTAATAAAGGAATCTTGATGGATGGCTGGAAGTTTGGGACATGGTTCTGGATAGCCGGTATGAAAATATTATTGTGTTTGTAGCTATGAGTCATTAAAGTACTGTACTTAAAGTATCTGTATTTCATATATACACCCAACGACCTTATATCAAACACACCTCTCAGACCTTTAGATGATGTATATGAGTCTTTCACACATGGCTACGGATATGGTTTCACCAAGAGAAGCATACACTTAAGATCACTGATAAAACCATTTGTTGGAGAGCCGATGATGTAATTGATTATTGTATGGATTAAACTTATTCCATTGGTACAACCAGTTAGATAGGAACATCTTGTGCTTATATTTTGATAGTTTGGAGCAATCGAAAAAGGCAAAGTAACTAAACATCCTGGAGTACGGGTTTTGGTGAAGAATTAGTGCATAAATGCTTTCATACTATATAATGAATATGTTTTTATATTAATGGCTAACAGTCATATAACCGAATTGGATTTGATTTTGATTTTTTGACTTGTGTATGTGTGGATGCGGTGCGGTGTGGGTGTGTGCAATGAATAAAATAGAGACCATATATTAATATGCATTTACGAAAAAAATAATACGCTCGAGATTTGTTTATTGCTTAATTTGCAATGCTGGCTAGATTTATGTTCGTTAGTAAAAGAAAATTTATTTTATTCATAAGTACCAATTAAAATTATATTTTCTTTTACTAGCTTCACTCCAAAGAAAGTGAGTCGTAAATTATGGGACTGATGCTCTGGATTCACAACCCCACGGGTCAAGAATATTTAATCAATAATTCGAATTAAGAGTGAAATGTAAATACCTTATTATTATTATCAAGCAATAAGCTTCGTTAACAAACAGGATTGTCAATCAAATTTTTAACTTTGTCTATTAAACTTAATTTTTTATTCAAAAAGGTTGCAACAACCATTTTATTAAAAGAAAGCGTCGTTTTGAATTCTTGAAAACAACAAAATTTAATATTAAATAAATAAATAATAAAGGTACTTTTTTATTTATTATATTTTTTCCTTTCATCACAAATAAATTTTAAAAAAAAGACCATCAACGAATGGAATCAAATTACCTTACGTCAATATGAAAAAAAAAAGACAATGGAAAAAGAATGGTTCGGTTATGGTAACGATAATAGTAGTATTATTAATATAGATGATGATAAAGAGCAAAAGGAAAATAATTGATTTATTCACAACCAAAGTACTAAAAGGATACTTGCCTAATTTCAGAATATTTGCTAATAGAGATCAATTATACACTGAAATTGGTATGATTGGTGCAGTAGTTATGCCTCACACCTGTATCTGAAAGGAATCAAAAGAATTCTTTGATAACGATGATTTTAATAGTATTGTAGACTGCGATCAGGAGGTCTCCAGGAATTAGAATCAAAAAAGTCCTATCGTTTGACAAACAATGATCCTATTAACTATCGATTCAACAGTTGCTTTAAGTTTTGCGCTTTTTATAAAGATGAAGAAGAACAAATGGTAATGGCTAATTTGTTGATGCTTATAATTTATTGTTAGAATTTCTTGAAAAAGCTGCAGGGACAATTTTTGTTCTGTCGTTATTGATCGCTGGTCAAGTTCAACAGCTACAATTGCTGGCCAAGTAGTGCAAGCAATGATAGAAGAACTTATAAGTTGGAAGAATGTGAAACCATGGATAAGGAACTTGTTGCAGGGCCATTGATATTACACCTGCAATGCTAATTTGCTATTTTGAAGACTCAAGATGGATTTAATAGCATGTTGGTGGCAAGTCAAGTGGCATTGAGTATTCAATTGCCATTTGCTGTTATTCCATTGATTTATTTTACTAGTAAAAAAATTGATTGACACCAACTTCAAACAATAATGTGATTAATTAAACAATAATAATAATAATGAAACAATGAATTAGTTTTTTTTGTTAATTTAAAATTCAACGACGTTAAATTGTAAGTGCAAGTGTTGTTGGTTATATTATTTTGTTTTAGATGTATATTAATTTTTTATGCAACTATTAAAAATTTATTTCTCAATAATCAATAGAAATTTTGTATGAATAGAGAAATATAAATGCAAATTAATTTAGATTTATTTTCCAAATAAAATATTAATAAAACTTTAAATATTTTGTCATAATATAATATTTCTATTTCGTCATCACTGAATTCTATCCAATGGCCTTCAATTATAAATTATAATTGATTAAATAAATAAATAAATAAATATTTGTTAGTAGCATTCAAAAAAATAACTATTGATTAAATTCATTCATTCATTCATTCAAATAATTTACCTATTAAATCCACCTCTTCTATTCATATATTGACGATATTGTCTTTGCTTTTTAATGTCAACTGCTGAAATATCATTATTACCAGAAACTTTTTTACCCTAAAATCAAAAATAAATATTAAAATTATGATATATTTATGATACATTAATAATATAAAACATATGATTTATATATTACCTTTGTAGTGGTGAATCCTGTTATACCCATAAGCATCATCATTGCCATTTCAGGATCTTCGTCAGGATTTATATTTGCCAACGGATTATTGGAAGACTCTGTACAATTTTCAAAAAACATATTATTTATTTTCGCTTCAATAATGCAAAATCATTTTTTGAAGTTTAATAATTCATAAATAACCTGTTGAAACTTCCCCTTTCCTAAAATTATAATCACAACAAACAAACAGTGATTAATTACTAATTTGTTAATAATGGCGCATTAATAAAAAAAAATAATATATTATTCTTACATTGGTGAATGTGGACGAGAGTGTGGTCTTCCTTTTTTATCACGGTCGTGCCTGTCATCTAATTCAATAATGATGATAATAATGATTTTTTAAAAAAAATTTCCATGACGATAGCATAAAAATAGACAGATCAACACAATGTCTTTGTTATACCTCTTCGATCACGTTCTGAACCACGAGGACTTAAACCACGATCTGAAGTTTTTTTTTATGTTTGTGATGTGCGAAAGTGATTGATAGCAATGTGATAGGAAAAAAAAACGTGAAACATCAAGTATTAAAATTCTTGAAAACCAATTCCCTAAAATTCATACCTTATTAGCTTCAACTAGTAGCTCATGAAAAAAAGGGAAGGAAAAAATAATGAAAATAATAAAAAAATATATATATGTGTATATATATTTGCTATATTATTATTAGCTTCCTTAAATTTTAATACCTACCTTTTTTCCATAAAAACACAGTGCATAATATACAGATAGAATTTTTTAATTAAGAAGTGTGTTTTTAAAGAATCATTAGTTGGCATATTTGAAATCAGTTAAAATACCTCTTCTAATAGCCGGTGACATTGATCTATGTCGACTACTACTACTTCTTCTCTCCGGTGATTTACGACGCTCTCTTCTACCATCTCTATCTCTGTCTCTATCTCTGTCTCTATCTCTGTCTCTGTCTCGATCTCTGTCTCTGTCTCTGTCTCTGTCTCTGTCTCTTTCACGATCTCTTTCACGATCTCTTCCCCTTTCTCTCTCCATATCTCTCTCCATATCTCTATCTCTGTCCCTGTCTCTATATCTATCCCTATATCTATCCCTATCCCTTGAATACGGAGATCTAGATCCTCTTTCTCTTCTACTACTACTAGTAGTGGTGCTATACCTATCTCGCTCTCGCTCTCTAGGTGAAATCATTATTTTTTTTTTAAAAAAAATTTTCAAAAATACAAAGATCTGCAAATTTGTGAGACCATTAAGTGATAAAATGGGACATGCTGCAACAAAATCAGACATTTGTATTATAATTAGTACTATAATAATGGATTTCAGGGATCATATTCAATTTTATTATAAATCCTGTGATATGTAATTTACAATATCAGAAAAATTCATCAAGCAATTTGTAGAAGTTAAGAAACCTGTTTGAATAGCACATATCACTAAACTTAGAGAGCAATGGAAAAGGACCATCAAAACCGTAGTAGTTTACTAATCATTTAAATTCACCAAATCAGACCAATAATACTCTAAGATTATGAAAAAATCTTTTTTATGTATTTATAGCAAAGTAAATTTAAAAAACTAAAAATTATTAATTAATTGAAATCATTTTCATCAATCAACTTTGATGAGGTTTCTTATTTGTGCTTGTACTACTACTGCCATGAACATCATTAGAATTTTTACGCTTTAATGTCTTGTATTTTCTTATCAACTAGCAATAAACACAATAAACAATGTTGTTGAATTATCATTATTTTTTTAAAAAATAAATCATTAAAGTATATACAATACGAACCTTTATGAGCCCTTTCTTTAAGTTCATCCTGACTTAAAACAGATTCGTCACTTTCTTCCTCCAATTCTGATGCACTACTGCTCTGTAATATTAATTGAAATGTATATTTCCTTGTCAATTATGAACTTTCCAAAAAAAAAAAAAAATCAAAAAATCAAAATGATAAAACGATTCTATTATAAATAATGACAATGATGAATATAAATGAAACTTGCCTCAGAATCTTCTTCTTCACTCTCTGCAAGCTTAAATTCACTTGCGGAATCAGATGACACTTCCAAGTCATCATCATCTTTTCCATCCATGTCTAAAAATGACCAACCTCCATTTGTATAAAAACCAGCTGGATCTTTGTTAATGTTTCGCATTATTTGTGTCCAATTCAAATTGAGTGTCCCTTCATAATACACAATACCTATTGAATCCAACCAACTCTTTACACCTTCTAGTTGACTCATTGGAATAGTGTTAATGTGTACTGGTGGATGTGAATAATCTTTGAAAATAAGTACCATGTCAAAATTTTTTAACCCATACTGTATTCTTTCCAAATTTACAACTTCCACATCTGCCATTGTTATCACCAAGAAAGGTAAATTGATTAAGTGGACAAGGCAATTGGCAATAATACTTGGTTTTTAAATGGATTTCCAGAGAATTTAATATCTCTAAAGGTATCAATAGTAATGCCACTCTAAAAAAACAGATAAAAATAAAAATGAATTTATATATTTTTTATTCAATTCTTGTAAATAAATAATACTTACTCTTATTGAAATGTTTTTAGCAAAATTCCTAAACCACTTATTTATCAATCCTTTCTGTTTCTCCTCCTCTACCACTTCTTCTTCCTCCTCCTCATCCTCCTCCTCCTCCAGTTCTTCATACAATCTCTTTACTTCTTCATCCTCATCATCATCCACTTCATCAATTTTGATGTTTTTAACATTTGAAATTTCTTTTGCAAATTGAATATCCTAAAATAAAAATGATTTATTATAAGCTTTACAAAAATAAAAAATCTAAACAAAAACTTATTTTTAAGTAAAAAACATACAATTGATGATGATGTTTCCCAAATTTGATTGGGTTAATTAAATGAAAGTGTAATCTTACAATCTTTTCATTATCACAAGGCTGAACAAATACGTGTTTGATATTATAGCTGAATGATAAATTTATTAGTATTAATATTAATAATAATGCTATTGAATATGTGAATTAATTAAATCATTATCAAGTTCTGGAAAAGCATTAGAAGTGTAATTAAGGCCATTATGGTGGATTTTTAGATTACCAATGACCTCCTTCCTTCGAATTTTGGCCTTAGAAACACTTCACCTAGACTGTGACCTGGCCTTCTCCCTATTAAAAAAAAACACAAACATATATATGGGGTATACTGTAACAAAACCAAACAAAGTGATTGAATAATAGCAAAATTTTGCAAACATATCATTTAATAAACAGTCCTGTAGTAAACATGATTTTCACGCATACATATAAATTCTCTAATTTTTGCAATACAATTTTTTTTTTTTACTTGTTCAGTTTTTAAATACAATAAACAACAATGTTATACATGATCAAACAATTCCTCTAATGATAATCAAGTATGTTCATATTATTGTTAAACTAAAATATCAAGTTTACATTTTAACTGATTATTTTTCGGAGATGCCAAAATGAGAACTTCTTCATTTTTTTTTCTTCGGCCATATGTTACTGGTTTATTTTGCATAAGGAAATTTACGTGCTCATACAAGTGAAGAACACGAGACTATCATATAAGAGAGATATCAGCTATGCATTAAAAAAGTTAAAATGAAAGTCTCAATTTTTGCAAAAAAAATTTTACCTTAAATTCCAACATTGCTTTATTTGATTTGAAATACCAGGAATTGAAAATCCATTAATTTGATCAACTAAATATATACCATCAACCCAATGTGTTGCAGGGTTGGCAAATGTGCGATCCATTGATGGTCTATTGATGGTCTATTGGGTCCATTAGTGTAACACTTTAACCATATTTAGTATCTTATTAATGGCAATGGACCAGTCCAAAATCCATCTGTTCTCAATAGACCAGTCAATTTGCCAACCCTGATGTGTTGAGTATATAAAAACATCCCTTTCTAAATAAAAAAAATATAAAGATTTAGTATAATAACAAGTAAATCACATTAGAATATTTCAATTCTTACTATATACAAGTAGTCCAAATGTCTCTAGCTGTTCAAAATCTTTTTTTTTCAATTCCCTTTTCTGCCAAAAATTGTTGCAATTTATAAAGAGCTAAATGCATCACTGTTAAATTAAGCACAAGCAAAAAATTAACATGGCTTCCATTATTTGATAGAAGAAAAAAGCACACTTTTACCTTTTAGAACTTTTTCACAGTCTTCATCTCTTTTAGAATCATCATGATAACATGGGTTCCCAACTATCTCACCATATCCTATCTGAAAATCTATACCAAGAAGCCTCATTATTATGATCACATCATGGAACCATCCAATGGCTCAACATTGTGATGGTGCTCTGGAATGATTTTTTTGACTTTTACGATAAATATTTTCTATTTCACCTCTGATTACAATATAAATATGTTAATATATCATAGAATGATTCATTTAGTTAAAACTAAAACAAAAATGAATACATTTACATTTGTATGCAAATTGTGGGATTTACATCCAAGAAAACATCTTCCCAAAGACAATTTATAATGTGATCATGATTATACATGCAGCCCAAATTGGTTTGGTGATTTTGATGGTCAATTTTGATGGTAGAAAGTAGAAATTAATTACGGCATTCACTATTAAAAACATAAGTGTAACACCCCTTTACTACATTTGTAACCCCTTTATGACAGTGTCAAAATATTTTGGGCTGCATATATAATCATGATACAAAAACTCCAATATATTTGAATCATTAAAATAGTTTGGAATATTGAAACATGTTATGCTAAAGTATATTGAAGGTTAATAAATAATAAAAAACTATTAACAAAGAATATTCATAAAATATGATATCCTTACAAAGCAATATATACAAGCTGAACCCACTGTAAAATCCAATATTTTTGAAATATATAAGAGGAATAGTCTAATTCATTGAGAAATGGATTTTGATTTACAATTAATGCCACTTTACTAAGATTTATTTGAAACACTGTCAATTCCCTTGTAATAACTTCATTATATGTTTCTAACAATTTCTGTATGTTAAATGCAAAAAGATTTATGAATCATATCTTCAACCTATGAATATTTATTGTAATTTTGGTATTATCACATAAATTTTCCAAAAATGCTTTTAATTAAAATAAAATGTGCAGACCTTATTCCATTCTAATTCTGAATATTTCCATTCTTCAGTCGATAAAATATTTTTAATTGGATCTTTTATGTTTGTTTTGGGCAAAAAAATGATACAATATCTGGCTATTCCTTTATTAAGACTGAGTAACTTTTTTGATATGGTATTATTTGTTTTCTATGATGTTAAACAATAAGTTACTAAGTATATAAATGAAAGTAAATATTTAAAAAAAAATAAATAAATAAATAAAAAATATTAAACTCCTTTGTGTTTTCTTTTCCAACCTTTGCCCTTTTCACATGAGAACTAAAAAAGATTTATTAGCAACTAGAATGAAGACAAGTTGTAACAAATAGCAACCACCACCATTCTCTTTAAAATGAATAACATTTATCCCTTCTCTGCACCATATGCCTCTCCTTTTCTTCTTTTTTTTGTGTCTTTTTTTGATGACTAAGTACTAAGTTTGTGATTTGATCGATGTGTACACAGCATAGTGGAAATTTGAAATGTTACACTAATTTTTTATATTGTGCAACGTAGCTTCACAATACACGGCAAACATTCTGGCAATAAAAAGTAAGTGATAAACTGTATTTGAATTGGATCTGAACTTGATCTCCAATTTAGAGGTAACAACTATATACTGGTGAAGTTTCAGAAGCAATGAGTTCTGTATAACGTTTCGTTTAATAACAAACTTCCACTATGCTTGTGTACACACCAATTATTTATCCTATTGGTTTTTTTTTTGGTAGGACAGACGCGAATTGTTTTTTTTTTTGGAAAAACAATTTATTTTTTACAAAGAGTCCATCATACCAAACAACATTCACGTTTGTCATCTTGGCCTACTAAAGAAGGTGAGTCATTCATAGGTATACTTTTTTTTTATATTGATGTATGTCCTTTTATTTTATAAATGTATTATTGAAATTAAATCATGGAACAGAACACGTATATCTGGTATTTATTATATACAAGACTCTTATCAATTTTACAAATGATTGGTATCATTTTCTTTTCTTAACTGTCATTAATATTAACATCAATATTAAAGAAAGGAAGAAATATGACTTTACAGAAGAAACAATTTGATGTGTAACAATTCAATATGTAATGTTTGATTATTGGAAATTTACAGATGTCAAGGTGCACACACTACCTTGAATGCTTTACAGTCATTCTCACCAGTGTATAAAAATTCAATGTGCGGAATGTGTGGGTGTAACATCGTACATTAGCAGTTTTCTGCAGATAGTTTCTAAATTTGTAGAAATCTGCATTAGTTACTGAAATTTATACACTGATTCTCACATGTTCTCATGTTTACAAGGCTAATCTGACTTGCGCCTGATGATAAAATGATGCAATTGAATTCTGGGGAGGGGGAAAGATGCCCTGGAGTTTATCAAAAGATTGCATCATCAATGACACTTTCACTAATCTTCCCAGACCAGAGAAGGCTACTGGTACGCTGGCTGAAGAGAGTTGACTGCAACAATCCTACCTCTAGGGTAAATATGGATGGATGGCACTGTGACCAAGCTGCCACCACAAGTATTAATTTTAGCTTAGAAACCATACCCACTTTACCTAAATAAAATTTTCTGTTAAAGTTCTTTAAAAAATAGTAAATAGGCACAGACAATAGAAACAATGATAACTACAAACATCGCGGATTTGAATTAATAGCAATTCACCATGCAAATTAATTTTAGCTTAGAAACTAACTATGTCCACTTTTACTTAATAAAATCTTGAGATATTTTCTGTAGAAATGTAAATCTTTTTAATTTTCTCAAAATCATGATTTTGCAGTTTTCCCCTTTTCTATTTTTCATGTCCCCCCGTGTGTGATGTTATTTTCGTCTATCACGTGTATGAGAAAAGATTGCTTGAATCAAACAAAATCATTTGATAATGATTACGCATCAACAACACTCATCATGAAGAGTTTCGTTTTGCCAGTAAAGCGCAGATCATGGTTTTCAATTTTATAAAATTAACAAAGAATAATCTAAAAAATATGCTGAATCAGGTAATAAAATTAATCAATTTTTTTATTTTATTGCTACGTAGTATTTTTGCAGATTGAGGATAAGATTAATGAGTTCAATTGTTATTGCAAGCAGGTGGTTGAATGAAAAAAAAAGAGAAGTCATAAATGGCAACTCCCAAAACCAAAAAAATCAAGATCGTAAAAGATTACATATATTAAAGATCTAAATATAAGCAAAAGAGTTTGGCCAGAATACAGTTCATACTCTCTAATTATCAAACCTTCAAAGAGTTCTTTGGTGCCAGCCGTTTTTGTTCTTTAAAATTTGACAATTATTGTGGAAAGCATCAGCCCTTCCTGTTCTTGTTTATTGTATCACTGGAAATCCACATAATGTTTTTGATCCTGGTGTTGTTGTTGCATTTGGTAGTGGAGGATCCTCATCATCAAAATATCATGCATCAGGTCCCAAGAAAACTTTATATCATAAATGTTGTCACAGTTGTCTGACATTAAGCCTATACAAGTCAGATATGTTTATCTATTTATAATTGAAATGTTGAAAACAATCCTGTTATGTTTGATTTTAATAGTAGAAATACACTGATTCTCT